GAAAAGATGCCTCCCCCATCTTTGTTTTTTTTCAATAAATTGGGGACTTAGAATGGAACAGTGAAAATAGACAACAGGAGATTCATTTTAGCGCTCTGTAAATAAAATCTTGAATGAGAGGAGTTTGCTTTTTATGTTGAGCAAACTTCTTTGCTCACAGATTTATCTTTAATCTAAAATACCTAGCAAAACTCACAGAAACAAAACTGCACCTGGAGTGCTAAAGATCTAACATTATTTCATCCAGGGGACAGAAGAAGAAGGATGCATAAAATACATAGAGGGCAGCAGTCATAAAGTCTACATCAGTGCCACGATCACAGGGTATTTTCATATAGTGTTCTCAGTTCAGTAGGTTCCATCTTTAGACAGCTTCTGAGACAGAGCAGAGTGTCTGATAAGGACAGAGGTTTTTTTTTTTTCATTACCCATGTGCACGTTGAATTTAATTTCGGATGCGTTTGTTCACTGAAGAAATTTGTTTCATAATATCCGTTATTTTGAACCGTTTCATTTTTGGAATTCATTTCATATCTTTGGCATTCATTTCGTATATTCGTTGGTCCAGGTGAATTTGCAAATTTTTGCAGTTTTTCTGAAAGATTGCTATATATTTGATATATGGAATTGGACAGATTCAATATTTTTGGATGCTAGTTCAACCCACCAAGAAAAATGCCATGAACCGATTGAATCCTTTCATTATCCGAAAATGAATTACTATTATACAGAAATTTATATAGCGCCAACAGTTTATGCAGAGCTTTACAATATTAGGTCAGACAGTAAAATACAATTTAATACAGTAGGAATCAGAGGGTCCTGCTAGTTAGAGCTTACAATCTAAGAGGGAGGGTCAAGAGATACAAAAGGTAATAATTGTGGGTAATTGCATAATGCAACAAAACAACGACCAAAATGTTTTACGCACATTTATTATATGAAATGCGACATTCTAAATCCGTTGCAAGTCTGCAACATATACACTAACTGGAGCACAGTAATAAATGCTACTGTCGCAAATGTATTACTAAATCTCCCCCCATATACTCTGTTTGTGTCTCAGACACTCAGGAAGACAACCTGGCACTCTGCTTCACAGAAGCTAAACGAGATGATCAGCAAACCATGTAGAAACAAAGACCTGATGCAGCATGTTTCCTTGAACTACTAATTGCAAGTGGAATAAGTGGGTGTCTGACTAACGCATCATTACAGACACATATAGGCTGAGCTGTGCTAAAGGTTAATGTAGTTTGTGAACTACATTAAGTAATAAATTAAGGTTGAGCAGTGCACATCTTACACATTTAGCTTGGTTCTCTGCCAAGCACAGGTCACTTGGGTCAATAATGCGACTTAAAAAGCAGCAAGCAGACACCCACAATTATAAGTAAAGGGGGCAAATCATTTTAGCAAATGTACTCGGTAAAATTTTCACTTCAGCTCTGCTCATAAAACAGTATCCTGCAGAAAAGGTCGACTTGCTAATCAGTTACCAGAGACCTTCTCTATTCATACAGTTGCTTTTAGCAGCCTGATGTTTTATCAGAATAAATGATTACATATCTTTGTTAAGTATATGATTGAGGTCGTATAGAGAAAGAGGCATGTTAGTGCATCTAGTAGATGTAGCGAGCATGAATATGGCTAATGTCAGGGAAAATAACTAGCTAGGAATTTTTTTTTTTTTTTTTGCAATCATTTCATTGAACTTTTCTTTAGAAACACAAAATCACTGTGCATTTTTTAGAACAAGCAAATGGTGGATGTTAAATCCTTTCCTCCTGGCTAGATGTAAATGTGGGTATGGATAGTTTTGTCAACTTTAAAACATTTCATCAGTGGGGGAAGTCAGACACCTGTATTCAGAACGTTGCACTGTCCTGGACAGAGATGCTAATGCTCTTTATATACAACTATGTAAAAATACTTCTATCCAGGGTTTATTTGAAGAGAATAGTAATCCCCCCTTCCCTGGGCCATCCTTTGTCTCTGCCCCTCCCCAGCTCCCAGCACCCACCTCTTAATTTTACTGACTATACTTACTGGTGGTCGACTTTGTGTGCCCCCTGGAGTTTGGAACTGTTCCCACATTGGTGGTCCACAATAGAGATGAACCAAACTCCCTTGGGTTCGGTTTGAGAAGGATTCAATGAATTCCAAAGAGATAGAATGCCAAACATGAACCCTGTTGAAATTAATTGGAGTCAAAATGTTAAATTAAAAATGCCTATTTTCTGGGCTAATAGGCAAAGCTGTGTTTAAAAAAAAATGGTATAGGTGGGTGAACACTGCCCTGGGGAACATATACCAATGCAAAAAAGATTAAAAAAATTCCATTATGCCAGGAGCAGTGATTTTTTTTTAAGTGCCTAAAGTGAAACCTTAAAAACACACAATTCCTTTCAATAACATTCTTAAGGGGGGGGGGTCCTAATCCTACCTGTGATGTACAAAAAGTGCTGTTTCAACACTGATATTTACAGAGGAAAAGTATTTAAAATTGCCAGCAAATGACATTTCATTGCCAGCTTCTTAAAAAAAGAAAAAAAAAAACAGACCCCCTTCAAGATTCTGCTATGTATATTGAGGGACCTTTGGAGGGGTCTTTTTGTTCTTTTTTTTTTTTCTTTATAAAAGTCAGCAATCCTACAGCAAGAATGAAAAATAAAGACAATTGATCAAAAATCTTACAATTGGTTCGAACACTGAGGTTCTCTAGTCGGCAGTGTGTGTGCCCCCCTAAAACAGGTTGGTGATGTGTGCCCCATTACTGCTAGGCAGCTGGTTTTCCTTGTCTGCCTTGTCAGCCTTGGGAAGGATATCCAGACCAAAAGGGACAAGAAGTATATGTAGTGCTACCCTCTCGAGGGCTGCTGAGGTTTTTGGGTCCCCATAAGCTCCGCGCAGCCAGGTAACATGTATTTTCCACACTTTCATCCAAAGTCAGTAAAATAGTCCTTGAGCTTGGTTTTTATTGTTTTATTAGGGGATTTAACTTGGATGAGGTCTAGGGTTATATATGGGATGCCCAGTGGAACTGTACAACTTTGGAGGACAAACTTCTTCAGAAAAAGGACAAAAAATCAGCAGCAGTCTTTCCAAGGAGCACTTGATACCCTTAGTGAACCTCCTCAGACCCCCCAGATGAAAATCTCCTCATCCACCTGGCTGTCTTAAGAGTGTCCCCAAGCAAAGAATTCTGAGACATACAAATTAAGTAGTCCCAGGGCAGGGTCGGCTCTAGGTAGGTGCTTTGGGGTACTGGAGCACCCCAATAATTTCCTGCAGCACCTCCAAAGCACACCCATAGATGTACCTGCCTGAATCACACACAGTGCTTTGCAAATCTGCATCAATCCACCCTGGATTGATACAAATTTGCAAAGCAATGTGACTGAGGAGGGATTTGCCATGTCTCAGCTACACAGTCTCTCACAGAGCGGCGGAGTGATATTCTGTGAGGTACAGAACCCTGGGTGCCTGCATGGCTCTACAGGAGGGAGGGGACGGGGTAAGTGGACAGTCTGGCAGCAGCTTGTACATTAATCCTGCAGAGCGAGGAGGGAGGTTCACGCTGCTATGGAATTCCCCAGTGTCCAGAGATGGTTTGAGGCAGGGGCGGACTGACCATTTGGAAACTCGGTCACTGCCCGAGGGCCCGGGTCCATAGGGGGCCCCATGAGATGCCCCTGGTACCTTTTTCATAGGTTTTTTTGAGTTTGGGCAAGGACACAGGGGCCCCATGATCCCCTATTGCCCAGGGGCCCCATGAGTTGTCAGTCCCACCCCTGGTTTGAGGTAAACTGTTCCTGATCCTGCAATTTAGAAGCTTGCGCTGCAGTGATTTAAATTTAATACAACAGCCTGCCTATGCTCTGTATGGGTGACCCTGTGTGCACTCAGCAAGCAAGGAGAATATATGTTTATATATTACTGCTGGTGGGTGTTGACCATTGACCATTGGTCCACAGTGTGCACCCCTGAACTCTGCACTTTGTGTGCCACTCTTGAACCCTGCTTTTTGTATGTAACACTCATCTGAACTCTGCACCATGTGTGTAACACTCTTCAACTCTATAGTCTGTACACAGCACACTGAATGCTACATTCTGTATGCAAACATTTCTTGATCCCTGCATTCTGTATGTAATGCACCCCTGAATGCAGCAATTTGTGTGTTACGCACTCCTGAACCCTGCATTGTGTATGTAATGCATTTCTGAACTCTGCATTCTCTATGGAACGCACCACTGAACTCTGCACTTTGTGCGTAATACATTCCTGAACCCTGCATTCTCTATGTAACGCACTCCTGAACCCTGCACCCTGTGTATAACACACTTCTGCTATTTAACAATGCCCTTTAACCACTTCCTGTCCGGACACTTTTACCCCCTTCCTGTCCGGACACTTTTACCCCCTTCCTGTCCAGGGCAATTTTCAGCTTTCAGCGCTATCACACTTTGAATGACAATTGCGCGGTCATGCAATACTGTACCCATATGAATTTTTTACCATTTTTTTGAGACAGATAAAGCTTTATTTTGGTGGTATTTATTCACCGCTGGGATTTTTATTTTTTTTACTATGTAAATGAAAAAGTCCAAAAATTTTGAAAAAAAAGTTTTTTTTTAATAAAATTTTGCAAATAAATAATATTTCATCCTAAATCTTGGCCAAAATTTATTCCGTTATTTTTTTAGTAAAAAAAAAATCCAAATTAGTTTATAACCAAACATTATAATTTTTAAACATTTTTTTTTTACATTTTTATTTTATTTTTTTTTTTTTTTTTTATTTTATATTTTTTATTTTTACATACTGTCACCCTAGCAGTACAGTGTCACCATGGTGACACTGTACTACTTGTGGGGGGTGATGAAGATTTTTTTTTTTTTTTTTTACACTGATTGCTTTTACACCCATATAGGATGTAAAAGCAATCATTTCTCTTTCTCTCTGTCTGCATTCTTGCAGTCATTGAGAAATACTGAGTGAGCTGTGATTGGTCACAACTTGTCACATGGTACAAGGCTGTTGTGAATAGTTCCTTGTACCATTGACCTCTGTGATCATTCACAGATTTCACACGTAGTAAGCAATGATGTCACAAGTGACATCTTACTGCTGGTGGGTGTTGCTTACTACCATTGGTCCACTGTGCACCCCTGAACTCTGCACTTTGTGTGCACTCTTGAACCCTGCTTTTTGTATCACTCTGATCTTCTGCCAATCCATGTGATCACTCTGACCGGGACCTCGTACAGAGGTACACCGCACACGATCGGTGTTGCAACATTTCACTGATCCCTGCATTCTGTATGGACACAGCGGACCCAGGAATCGCGCAGCAATTTGTGTGTTACGCACTCCTGAACCCTGCATTGTGTATGAGCGCATTTCGAACAGCTGCATTCTCTAGAAAAAGGCGGGTGCCGTTTAGGAATTCCGGCAACCCTGCATTCTCTTGGAACTGCACTCCTGAACCCTGCCGTTATAACAGCACTTCTGGACGGCAAGCCCTTTAAGATTCTCCCACTGTTCATGCAGTTTGGCCAGACTCACTTTTTGATGTGACATGCTTTCCTCCTTAGTGGAGAGGGGTCGTTCGTATTGTGGAAGGGGGCGTAGTTGTGTGTTCCTGCACCTATTCTTTGAGAAAAAAATCTCTAACCACCAGTATATAAGAGAAATGACTACCAGTAAACAGGGGTACTCTGACCACCAGTATGCAGGGCCTCTGGCTATCAGTATACAGAGGGTATACTAAAGGGAAATCTCACAGATGGCAAAAAGAAAATTTGCAGGGGTTATAAACTTTCCCTTGCTCTATTCAACATGAAAAAAAGTTTTGTCTATAGTTCTACTTTAAGTAAGTGAACCATGTCCTGGTTATTATTACTATTATTATAATACAGGATTTATATAGCGCCAACAGTTTTCTCAGTGCTTAACAATATAACGGGGGAGAGCAACAATACAGAGCAACAATACAGTTCAGTACAAGAGGGTTAGGAGGGCCCTGCTCCTTGGAGCTTACAATCTAAAGGGAGGGGCTAGTGGTACAAAAGGTAATAACTGGAGGATGGACTGGTAGGAGTAATAGAAGATTCCATTATTAGCTGAGGACAGGATAGGCTTCCCTGAAGAGAGAGGTTTTCAGAGATTACCTAAAGGTGAGCAGAGTAGGCGATAGTCTGATAGATTGGGGTAGAGAGTTCCAAAGGATGGGGGAAGCTCTGGAAAAGTCCTGGAGACAAGCATGGGAGGAGAGGACAAGGGAGCCTAGACAGCAGGAGGTCGTGTGAGAAGTGGAGAGTAGGGTTTGGGTGATATTTGGAGACAAGATTGGTGATGTAATTTGGGACAGAGTTATAAATGGCTTTATATGTTCATGTTTTGAATTTTATCCGTTGGGCAATGGGAAGCCAGTGGAGGGATTGGCAGATACGGAACGGTTAGTAAGGTGGATGAGTCTAGCAGCAGCATTCTTGACGGTTAATTACTGTTCTGTGTTTTACCTTGTGTAAATTATTGTGGGGTGCTGAGAGTTAATTATTTTGCTGTGATGGGGGGGTTATGATTTCGGCTGCAAATGGGCCTTTTTTATTTGCAGTTTCTTCAGTTCACCCCATGTCTTATTTAATCTATACAAATGGAGAACAGTGTCATACTACAAGCCATAGACTATGCAGAAATGCCCACTTTCTGGCTACATCCACTTGTGGACCACACCCACTTTTAGCCATGCCCACAAACGCAAGGTAGCTGGCTTGCTTCGCTCACTATATCAGCACCCCCACGTGCATTTCCAGCACAGCACCCCCCATAAAAATTGTCTGGAGCTGTACCAGGGAGAACTAGTTTGGTATTGCACATGACTACCCTCTCCCTTCTTTGGCCCAGGCGTGTGTATAAGTACTCACACTGTCAGGTGTCTGCAGTTTAATGGGTTGTCGCTTCTTTCAGGCCTTATGCTGGGCTGGCTCCCTCCCTGCTGACAGGCTGTCTTTCCTAAGCAGACTGTGGGACAGTGGAGGGTCTTCTGCACAGCTTCAGCCTGAAGGCAGGCCCCTCTCCTCTGTGCCCCCTTCCCAGGTTCCATATCAGCAGCACCTTCCTCAGTTTATCTTCTACCTGACTCTAACAGCTCACTGATGATCAGGCTCTCCCATATTTAAGGGTTGTCATAGCCACCATGCCTCCTGCCTGGGGTTTGGCCTGGTTCCCTCAAACATGCAAATCCAGGCCTCCTCCCCTCCTCCTCCCCTCTTCTAGAAAGTGCCAACAGTTTCTAGAAGGGTGGGAGGGCTCCAGAAGCCCTGACCTGTAGAGCATCCCAGTCTAACCTGAAGTGACCCTGCTGACTCATACCCAGGCTTCTAACAAGCCTCTAACTAAACACAAAAATCCTACCTAAACTAGAGGGTGCTACATATACAAGCAGTACAAAAACAAGAAATTCATTGTTAGGGTTACTATACCCTTAAAGGTAGCTATATTGCATATTACCATGGCCTGGGCTTTGCACATTCCCTAAGCTCATATTGATGGTGAAAGGAATATGCATTCACCTGAGCCTGTCTGCATTCTATTAAGAATACCATGAAGGAAAAAGGTTATTTGAAACATTTACATATTTAGATAGGAATGTTAATGCTGCATAACAAATGGCAAGTACTGTAATTGTTATATAAACTGTAAACTTAAGTTTATTTTGTTAACCATGTACTTAAACCAAAATATGTGTTTTTTCAGTAATATGTTGCAGGTTCCAACGGTGATAGGCAGAATGCAGAAACCCATAGCAGTCAATCAGGTTTAATGTTTATATGGTTAGCTTAGTTGAGATGATTTCTGATACAGAAAACTGCACGTTAGACATCATAATTTTCTATCGTTTTGTAATGCATATTAAACCAATTTGTAAAAATATACTGCTCGGTAATGAGCAAAAGTACTGTAAACCCACTGACTGTGGGTCTTTATGAATGAATGAATTATCATCTAAAAAGTAAGCTGTATGTTCTATTCTTGGTTTAATATATTATTGTCTAACAGGTAGTCTAAGGTTCAGTAGCAAGTGCTTACCAATAAAGTGCTCCTAATCTGGGCTGTGTTTCATTGAAGCACATTACAGTGAGGCAGTCTCTCTCAAAATCCAGGCAAGCCACACATCACTCTAGCCAAAAGTATTAAAACAAACTGTCAACTGGCTAAGCTCTTTCAAGGTCAGGGTTTGCGCAGATTGGCATCAGACATAGATGTAAATCAAATGCAACGTATTTTCAGATCAATAAATCAAAATTAAGCAGACTTGATTTCAATAAACCTAAATATAGTGTTTAAAGTCCCAAATGAAAGTCCCAAAAAAATAATCTTTGCCGGTGATTTCACAATTCTTCGTGTCTCCAAACAATATTAGTGGTATAGTCCAAAAAAAAAAAAAAATCTTCATATACCTCAAAGGAAAAGATACTGAACAAACTAAAGTGCCACAGCAACCGTGAAATAACAAAAAACTTCTATGCCTTAATTATCAATCCCCTGCACACAAATATCAGGAGTGCATAATTACCCTAAAGATAGTATCATAGGATCCATCATATAGATGAGATTATTTTCAGCCTTTTTTTTCATCAACCTTTCCAGCCACTTCCCACAGACCTCATAAACAGACCAGGGATCAGTGTATATAATAGATAATAATTACACTTTATTGTAGCAACTTACGTTAAAATATGATGAGATCAGCTTCCATACAGTGAAAATGGTTCCACAATAGCGCCCCTCCTGAGTGGCACCAAGGTATCATCACCATACCACTCTGGAGGAGAGACAAATCATCGGTGGAGGATTCCAAGAAAAACACAACCGCATGTAGAGGATTCCAGGACAAACACAACCGCGTGTTCCAGGATCTAAGATGGCCGCCACAGCACTTCCGGAAGAGCGTCACTACGTCACCACGTCACGTGCCCCGGACGCGTTTCGTCACATCCGGACTTTTTCAACAGGGGATACGGACGTGTCTCCTCACTCTCTTTAAATATCACTGGCTAGGGAGGCAAAGCCACGGCCATCTTACATTCTGGAAACCCGGGTATCCATACCAATGCATTCAGGGTGCACCCAGGCCAGCAAAAAAAAAGGGATAACAATCCCGTACTGGCCACCTTGTACACCCCGGACCCACAAACATATTTGCAATTATAAACCCATCCACCATATTTTCAGATCAAGAAGTGAAAAAGGTTTCAATTGCTGCACACTATGCACATCCATATGTTATAAGGGTAAAAGCAGTCTCGGCAGTCTCCGATCAAGCCACCTCACTGACGCATTGCACCCTGTCCCTGGGCTTACTCATGAAGGATGTTTTCAGCTGCTTACTCCAAATAATGGCTAGCATGTGTGTTGCTTTTGTTTATTTTCATATTCATTTGCTTAAGGTGTGGGGAGCAGTTCAACTGAAGTAGAATCAGACATGCTATGCTTACGGGGGAAACAATAATTGTTTTGGATCAATTTTATTTTAGTTGTTCTTTAAAGTGGTTCTAAAGTGTAAATACTATTCATTAAGCTAAAATATGACCCTGCTTTCTACCCCTTTCCCTAAACACTGGGCTTCTTGTCACTGCCCCATCACTGCATCCAGCTCCAGCATTATTCCACACCACCACATCCTGCTGAAACTAAGAACAGAGGAGCCATAGGCTCCTGCTACTGTAAGTCAAACTGTGTGGATGGAATGGATGTGTGACTTACTGGTGCTGTGTGTGTATGTGCCTATAGATGCACAAAGCCTGGCTCATGAGCGTGCACACAAGGGTTCCTTCTGAGCATCTGGTTTGCTACAGAATACACCCAAAGAAGGGAAGAGCAGACAGCACTGTCAGAGAAGGTGTGTGACCTTTCTGTGCAATATTGTTGCACAGAGCAGATAATATATATGCCTGCTGTCATGGGGGATGATGGGGGGAGAGGTCGGCTGATGCACAGTAACATGTTACACCCTAAATACGGATGTAACATTTACCATGTTGTAAAAGGTGGACAGCCCGGATCCTCCTCTCCTTGGGTTCCCCGCCGTTGCTCCTGGCCCCTCCCTCCTTTTGGGTGCCCCCACAACAAGCAGCTTGCTATGGGGGAACCCGAGCATATACACTCCCCAGTCGCTGCTCTGTGTATCCATTCACCCACAAAGCAGCAGCTTGGCCCTGTCCCCTCTTCTAATTGGCTCACTCGCTGTGATTGGCAGCAGTGGGAGCCAATGGTTCCCACTACTGTCTCAGCCAAAGGGGGGGAGAGAGTCCCGGGATAGCCAGGACTTCAGTGCACATCACTGAATC